TAAAGTGGTTTAAAGGGCGATTTATACTGACACACTGGTTTAATCAGGATTAATCCACAGTGACCTCGTGATTAATTGCAATAAAGATGTTGGTCTTTTAACGGACCTCGATATCATTTGTTAAATAGTAAATAACTGAATATGCATGAGTATATTATATTATGTCAATCATGTATTATCTCAGACAGACTTCCAGTGTTTTATGTTTGAAGGTTTGTGGTCACAGCAGAAGTTTGTTCCACTGTAATAAAGAGCAAATTCTCATTATTTTTATTGCCTGGTTTTTACAAGACCTCAGCTTGTTGTAGACATTTTTTCAATTAAAAAACATTAAAAAAATTATAATATAAATTTTTCTAATAATGATATTGTTCATTTAATCCTGAAATCAGTGAAGACCGAGACCTTCACATGCCCTACAGAACATTCCAGGCTTCAGTGTCTCCTGATGCCAAAAAAATGGATCCAACGTCAAACAGCAAAGTCTAAATTCAAACACACAGAGACACTTTTCACAAATAGTGCTATCTGCGTCGCCACTTGGCAAATACAGGGGAGGGAAAAAATTCTGCCCTCGCACCTGGCAATCATTACGGAAATGAGAGACAGAAGAGGTTAAAATGCTGCGATGGAGGAAAAAGAAAAGAAATTCACACTTCTGCGCTGGGACCTGCTAATGTCTCTGACCCCTCGGAGCATAAACAGTTTAATTAACATGTATACATAACTTTCACTTTAACCGCTCATGGCTTGTCAAATCAAAGTGTCTGTCAGGGCCGTGAAAGAAGAAGTTGATATTTCACAGGTCCTCAGTTCAAATCCAGCGCGGTGTAAGTGCTCCAGCTGGCCTGCAGAGCTGGCATCAAGACACGAACGCAGGCAGACAGACGGACAGACGGACGGACAGGTAGACAGGCAGCCCGCCACTCAGACAGTTTGATGAAGTAAACAAGTCGGAACCAAAGCCGAGGAGCTTCGTTTGGCCGGAGAGCGAAGAAAAACAAAGTGGAAACTTCAGAAAGTCTCAAGACGTCTGAAGGCAGATGCATTTTATTTTTTTGTAAACATGTGCTGTCAATATGCTGTGTTCTTCACTCATCATCTGAACAGAAACACTTCACAGCATCTGTGCTGTTTGTAGAGATGGAGGCGTTCTATTTCCTGTTTCCATCTTATTGTCCCTGATGGACGAAAGTGGATCGGTCATTCTTTTCCAGCTATTTGGACCAGACATCTCTCTCTCACACACATATACACACACACACACACACACACCAGTCATTTGTGCTGTCACATTGAGGAGGGGACCCCCAAGCCAGCCACCCAGCTTGCTTCTACACGACATATTGCAGGAGTGGAAAACCAAGAGGACACATACACACACTCTCTCTCACACTCCATACACACACACTCTCTCTCTCACACAGACACATACACTGAGGCCAGCAGCAGCACCAGGACTGGTGTGTGGTGGCTCAGGAGAGCAGGGGGAGAGTTATTAGCTTAGCCCTGAACCACCTCCTTAATATAGGGGCCGGCGGTGATCGCTAACAGAGCCTGGCAGAGGTGACAGCTTTTGGCCCTGCTTGAGGAAATCCAATTGAAAAGCAGCCAAGAGGAACAACAAGCCCAAAACAGATGTTGCTCGCTACCACTGGCTCAACTTGAGTACACAACCCCGTGGCAACAAACTGCGGTGTCAAGTCTCACACACAAGCGTACACACAGCAGACACTGTGTGAGATTGCGAACACACACACACACACACACCTACAAACCTCAAATCTCTACAACAACAGCAATACAAAAAGGACAAAATACATGACAAAATTCGTGTTTTTAAATAACGCACACAGGTCACTTCAATAATTGAATGTTCTCCTGTTGTCATAACTCTGTTTATAACAATGCTACAATGTTGTTATTGAAGGTAGTTATGTTTAAATAAGTCATCAACATATGGCCATTTTAAATTAATCTTGAGTTTGTTTTTCCGTTGTTTTCACGAACGAACACGAGCGTCGCCCTCTGTTTGTATTTTCTGTGTTTTCTCACTCTTTCAC